ACTCATTGACTCTTCAGCAATCCCTCACACTAAGCATGCTTGTAGCGACAGTGGAGAGGAATAACTCTCTTTGAACAGGAAGAAGGTGAGACGCATCACTTCAAGGTTCTAGTGTTTCCTCATTCATACTGAAGAGTATACGCTAAGTATAATTTAAAGATGGGCAGCACATTTACTATTCCTAGGTGTTAGGCCAAAGCTCACAGAAGGGAGGATGGAATGTGTAGATAGGAAGATTGATTGACCTTGCTCGCGCACACACACAGAAAGAGCTGATTTTGCAGAAGCAGAAAAACAGGAAACAACTCCATTTATGGAGACGGACACTTTAGGGAGTATGAATACTGTGTATCTGCTTGTGGGACTGTTTGTGTAGAATTGTAGGATTTTACTTGATAAAGAAAAATAAAACGAGCCTACGTGGGGAGAAGGACAGTGTTGCTTGCAGATGTTGGCTGCAACTATTCTCCCTTTGCAAAGGTGAACAGAAGCTGGGCTGGTTCTGTTTCTGTCGTTTATTTCACTCCATCTGAAGCTAACCTCCACTCGAATCTCTGGACCGGGAAAGCTGAGACGGCTTTCAACAGTTTTGAGGGGTCGTCCGGGATTCAGGGCGTCAGGATCGATTAGATATCGGACTAGGACGAACGGACGAGGGACACAGGCTAGCCAACAAAAAGATACAGTAAGCAGAACCTGTTTAATCAAATCTGCATTTTGGGTTTAGAAAATCTAAATTAATGTGTCCCGAGTCCTAGTAAGTCTAAGTCTATAAAAGAAAATAGAAGGATGTTTGGATGGTTGTAGTAATATTGAAGTTGTGTGAGAGAAATAGTAAGTAAAGTTTCTTGAGGGTGGCGGCTCATGGCGGATCCCTGACGAGGGGTTGCCTTCAGCTGGGTTAGAGGCCCGAGAACCTGAGAAACCTCAAATTCTACATATAGAGTGAGAACAAGACCAGGTAAAACACAAAGTGTGCATGCTGATGCTTAGCAGGGGGTGACTCTGCAAACTCAGATTACAGATATATAAAGTTCTGTGTACACTAGTTGCCAGAACTTAAGCAGAGTAGAAAAAATAAGTTGTGCGCGATAACACAACGAGTAAAAGAAAAGTTCTGTGAGTTCAAGATATCTTTTATTAAACCTAGAGCTGACGTAGAAATCAGCAAGTCGCGTAAAATACTTGAGCGGTGAGCTGGACCCACACACACCCAGCGAAATCAGACTAATAGAGGAGAACAGAGGGTGTGTATGGAGCGGATGCCATGGTTCGTGAGTCCTGAAGCTTCTGCTTATTTCACCTCCGAGTTGAATCTTTCATTTAATATACTATGTTGGAGTAAAGACACAACAATGAGGATAGTTTTCTTTGCGATACATAATGCAGTGAAAGCTAAGCAACGAAAGCTACAAGAGCTCTTGGCGCCTCCATCCATCTCTGCAGGAGCATCATGGTGCATGATATCTGTTGCGACGGTAGTTTCTGGCAGCCTTTCTCAATCGCTACAGGCTGTCATGCAATCATTGTGCTTTCATCTTCGCGGCGGCGCCTCATGGTGCCTATCATGGTGGGTGTTTATGGCGCAGCATTGGTGCGGACATTTTATGCTCATCTGTGGTTGTGGGGGGCCAGAGCACTCAGCCAAAGCTTATCAACACAATCATCACCGCATCGTTATTTTCAAGCGTTGTTGTCTCCTAGCTTGGTCAGCTGTTTTGCCATCATCTCCAGCAACACTCTTTCATTTCCAGGCTTGATCTGGCAATTGGATTTCCTTTCTCCTAGTCCAGGTTTTTTTTTACTTTTTTCGTCTATACTGCTTCTCAATTAGATCTGAAGTATTGTTACTATAATCATTCTGTCTGCAGCATGCTTCCATTTTATGGATGATGTCTCATCCGTAGGTTTTGGGGGGGGTTCGCAGTTCATGGCTGCTACCCTCATCATTTGTAATTCTCTGCTCAGTGAGGTTTACCCATTAGCTGTAGCTTGCGTCGTCAGGCCATTCATTGAAATGGAGCAGCCACAACAGCGATCCGTGGCGTTTCCATGAGTTTCTCAGCAACGGGGCTGATGGTCTTCAGCCTATGCCTCATATATCGCATTCATTCATCCGTCCGAACTGTTCAATGTTCTCTCAGCCTTTAAGGGTCAGCTAACTACAAATACTGGTGGTGGTTTCAAAACTCATTTATATCCTTCATCAGATCTGAATCTTTGGTTATTTCAGTTGTGTTCATAACCCATTCTCATC